TTGCATCTCGCTTCAAAAAATGGATTTGTTATTAACTTTGAATCTGAAATTCGGTCAATTTGAATTCTGCCAATTTTTTTTAAATGGCGTATTCGATATTTTTCAATAAATCAAGATAATAAGTTGTAGGAATCCACAAACCAGGACATTGTCCCGGCACTGAATGGTAAATTTTAATCTATTTTAACGTTGTAAGAGCGATAAGTGTTGTGTATTGTATGGCGTCGCGTCTTGTGAGTGTCGTGCAGTTACTTTAGCACAAAACACAAAATAAAAAGCTCTCCACCACATCTTTGCGTAATGGCAGGAAGCCAAATCCGGCCAGAAAAGCGTGCGGCAATCTTGCGACTTAGAAATGGGATAAATCTCTTTTGAAGGCACTTTTTCATGTATAGCTGCCCATCGATGATCGCAATTGTCAATAAAGGGATGCTCCGTTTTCCACACGAACACATGACTTACCAATACATAAATTTCTTAACGAGCTTGGATAGTTTCTGTTTCGTGAGGTGCTCTGGTAAATCAAACTAGCAGTGACATACTGACTCACGGAATATACTGGAATTCCCCTATACTTATGTCTCGTCATCTATGACACAGCAATGTGGTATTATCAACATTTGTGTGTAAAGCATCCTCCGTGCACGCGTTTTAGCTACCATACTCTGTTGCCCGTTTCTTAACCTTTGGCATGAAACTATTTCAAGCTGAACATTGCATTAGGTCCTAAGTTACATTGATCGATTCTATTCGTCGACTTTCTCTTTAACGATCTGTGTGCTGAAAATACCTGGGAATGTCTAAAGATGGCCGTCGAGAAAGTCAACGAAGAGAATCTGTCAATGTTACTTAGGACCTAATGCAATATTCAGCTTGATTTGTCAGATAAAGTTTTTGGCCACATCGCGAACTTCAAAGTTTATAATCTTGTGGTCTTTCGTCCCCTTTAATGCTTACGATCGATGGTTGAACGTTTTATGATACGAGAAACCTTGGAATGCACGATTCCAAACATTTTGCTGATGGCACGATTTGAAAGATGCGGGGTTTTGGAGGACGTGTACAGAATTTTATCGCGTACACGCTATGACTTCCGACGTCATTTGTGTAATTAAACTACAACACGAAACAAAATTAAAAACCTACTGACTTTCGTGTCCAATAGACCAATACTTGAAGAATATTTTGGAGAATATCAAGTGCCCTCAAAGTGAAAATAATATACTGTTGTATTTTATACAACGCGCAAGTGCTCGTGTTACAAAAATTGGCGTGGATTTGGCCTTTGGACTTGAATACTTTTTCATTTTTTCTCCATAGACTTTTCAACTAAAATAATTTTCTAAATATTGAATTCAAATATTAGGCAAAGAATTTTTCTTGTTTAAATTCTTTATTAATGTGATTTTAAGTCCCTTTTGGGCTCATTCATCACCTTAAATAGGATTACAGCCTTAAAAAAAGACCTCCAGCTATTAGAATAAATTTTCTGAATCTCAGACTACCATTCAAAGTATCCAAAATTCAGATTCAGAAATATGTTAGATATCATGAACTATTGAAATGTTAACGATTTCTACTTTATTTCTTTTTTCACTATCATTAAATTTATCTAATGATATTGAACTAAAACTTTAGAATCTATTAATTTCTTTAACTCACAAGTTTCAGAGAATTTCAACTTCATTTAATATCTGATTAAGAAAGCTTAAAGATCCTACACACGCACTGAACTGAACATAAATATCAAAACCTCGAACTAATAAATCTTTCCAGATTATGGATTCATGTAATATTTTAGATATTTTCTAAATAAGAATCGACTGGAACTCGAACTAATTTTTGTTTTATGTTTTATTTTTGAATACTGACGGTATAGCTTTATATCCTCTGAAGATAATCAGGTCGAAACGCCGAAATGTCGAACATAATACATAGATATGCGATTTGATCCTTCGTTACACTGTATTGGTCAGACTTCATAATTGAAAATAAACAGACTGAACATCTTCACAATGTACAACGAAGTTTCCGAACTCTAAGTTTCTTGTTGAGATTTCGCTACCATATATACTGCCGTTATACGCATAACTGTCCCATGTTCTATGCAATCCTTATGCACTGTGGCACTCTTATGCGTTAACGGCAGTATAAAACGTGGAAATCTATCTCAAAACCATGAGAAAGGTGGACCTGTCCTCTATGGTCATATATATTACAGTCGATCCCTGGGTTAGACAGGGTAAAACAATGGTCAACTCTTCATGATGCATATTTAGGCTAGAAAATTATATGTACCATGACCTTATTTCTACATGGAATCATGGTTTTGTTATTCTTTGAGCCGAATATTACAAAGATTGCCTTAACCGTGACCAGTGTCGGAAGAGAGTCCCAATACTTCCGCAACCCCAACATATCCAGACATTCCAGATATTACATTCCACACGATAACCTTGCGAATATATGACCACGTACAAACAAAATGAAATACCTGTGTGTGTAATTTCAACTCGTAAATAGCTAAGCAACAAATGGATCACGATGCGCTACACCTAGTCTAGTTTCGAACATTATTTTCGCAATTTTCCGCAGCGACAGAATCCTTAACCTTTAGCGCCGATCTGCTATTTGTTTGTACCAGCACTACCATCACCTTCTCCACCACCCACCGATAGCGTTAACGATTCTGTGCTGTGAATGTGATGCGAGAAATAAAGATACTCTTGTGTAGCCGTAAAAACTTAACGTAAAAGATCCCGAAGGGGAAAAACTGAAAATATTTCAGCGTTTTATAATTAGCATCACTTACGGGGGAAGACAAGAACGATGAGAATGGCAAAACTGAAATCCTCAAGCAAAGCAGTTGAAAGATCACTGCCAATCTCTCTTGGTTGAGGGTGACTCGGGAAACTTTTCTGCTGCCCCTGTGTGATCTTCTGCTCCGTCTGCGGCTGCTTCCTATTGTGCTGTGCTCTGTGCTTAGATTTTTTTTTTTGACGACTTCCTTTTTTGTATATATTTTTCACTCTGTTGTCACAATGTAATTTTTTTCTGAAGATGCTTCACTGCTTATTCGAAAAACACAAAGAAATCAAAATATCACAGATGATCACATAACACAAGCTCTGTTATTTGGCGAGCATAATTTCACCGGATTTAGGCACAATTTCCACCGACATTTTCCTGCTTTTCAGTGCAGCACAAGACACGGAAAAGATCACACACCACCGCCGCGATCGAACTCGTACTTTCCGTCCGGACTATTTTTTTCCGTATCTTCCTTATAATTTTACCGCTGCTGTGCGGAAAATGAATCTTCGTTCCTCCGATGCCTGATGATTTTGGATGAGCAATGATCTGACAGGTTGGGAGTTTTTTTTTTGTTTGTTCTGTTGACAGCTGTCGATATTCAGGAGAGGATACACTGTCCCACACGGTAATCGCAAAGAACTCTTTTATGACTATAAAGTACACATATTTGAATGAAAACGGGACTACCCACAAAATGAGTAACATTTCACACATTTATGAGTAATTACTAGTACAAAAATGAATAAATTTTATGCATTTATGAGTTCCAGATACTCATAAAATGTGTAAAAAATACACACATTTTAGGTGTAGTCCCGTTTTAGCCGAATATGCATACTTTATAGTCAAAATTGAGTCCTTTATAGTCATTTTTGCGTATTTTGCGGTTTCCGTGCACAGATATTGAAACAGAAAATCAAATAAACACAGCGGAGCCATCGAGTACACGGTAAGAAAAAAGTTCCCAACGGTCAGTTCACATTTATACCTACTTTTGATTTCTAATGTTGTCAAAAACGGAGGAGCAAAACAACCCAACAGTACTGAAGTAAGGGAACCAGGGTTGAAAAAATCACCAACATTCACTATGAAATGAATGTTTCATCCATAGTGAACTTTAATGAATTTTAGTAATTTTTTCAGCCCTGGTGGGAACCCATCGTTGAGCAAAATCATGTTAACCTATTTTTGGGTACAACAAACTTCCCTAATTAACAAATACCATAAACGAACGATAACCCAAATAGTAAAACTTTTCCACGAATGGTTTTGAACACTTCGTTGAGCAAAATAACCATACTCGCGGTAACACAATCCAAGTCTAAATTTGAGTATTTGATTCTTATCGTGTCTGCAAAATGTTTACATCGAGGTACACGCTATTTCAAAACTAATCAAATTTGGGTAGAATTCACCCAGATCTGTCAAAACTGAACTTCCCAAAAATGGGTAAACTATGTTGAGAGCGACAAGTTGACAAATTATGTCAATGTTGTCAATTTTTCAACTTGTCACACCCAACATAGTTTACCCATTTTTGGGAAGGTTCAGTTTTGACCGATCTAGGTGGATTCTACCCAAAATTTGGTAGTTTTAAAATAGCGTGCAGAAACCCCTCGTTTATATCTAGATAGAGCTGGAATTAGGGCATAACAGCCTTTGTAAACAATGACTTCTCTCGTGGATTTCTCGGAATTCAAGGCACGCCTACATGAACCAATATATCCATCGGGCAGGAGAAGTCTACCTCTACTCGATGGTGATGTTGATTTGCTAGGGAGAGCCATGGCTTCCAAGAAATCATCGAGAGAAGTCATTGTTTACAAAAGCTGTTACGCTCTAATTCCAGCTCTATCTAGATATCTAAGAGGAAGAGGTGACAATTGGCTTCTCCCTCTTTTATTTCTGTCTCTATCTTTATCTATCTCTATCTCTATCTTATGCACATGAAATCGGCCAATCAGGGGCTGGTTCACGTTTGACAGAAAAGTGGTTCATTTTCGTCCCCGTATTGTCACCTCTTCTCTTGGGTTTATATCGCACAATGATTTCAAACACATATTTGTTACCGTGTACAAGGACACACAGCTGAATGTCGTTTGACGTTTGCTTTTACCCATATTCGTCAATAACTCAAAAAACTCTTTCGGCCCGCTTCGGCTTTTGATGCTTTTGATGCGTCCTAGTGGTTGTTCCTCAAGTTTTTAACTTTTAAATAATTTTCCCTGCGTTTATCGTCCTACAATGACTGCTATCGATAAAATTCAAGTCCTCGACTCTATCGAAAAGGAATTGCTCCTTTGTTTACAGAGTGCAGGTAAGGAAACCGCTGAATATTCCATCCGGTTTAGAACCGGCAATGACATTTCTTACGTATCGTTCCAGGCCAAGCTCTGCTGGAACTCAGCAAAGAGAAGACCAGCCAAAAGGCTACGGAAACCCACACGAATCAGTTCTTAAAATCGCTGAATATAGTGGAATCCAAGCTTTCGGAGCAAATCAATTACCTAACGCAAGTGTCCACCGGCCAACCGCACGAAGGATCGGGTTATGCGGCGGCTAAAGTATTGCAGATGGCCTGGCACCGTATTCAGCATGTGAAATCCCGTATCAAGGAACTGGAAGAATGTAAGATCAAATACGTCCAGGCTACGAGTAGGCTTCAAACGCAACGAGCAGGACAAAATCCACCTCCGGGAGGAGTACTGTAAGGGTAAAATATTCTCAACTATTTAGGTATCGATAAGCTTCCTTTTTGCGACAAATAACAATTTTATTTCATTACTCTAGATAGTCCGATTGTTCGGAAGCCGATGTTTTCGGCTGACCGATTCCGAAAAATCCCTTTTGTACCACGAATCGGACACACTGCAGCAGAACGTTCCGTTCGTGGCGAATGTCCGGTTCGAGAAGCTTTTCCAACAGCGTATTCTGTCGAGCGTGTCGAAGTTTTGAGTAATTCAATAATGGTTTCTCAATCCGAGTGATTTTGGAAGGCCCGGGTTGACTAGACGGTTCATCTTGCGATCCTCCATTTCGCCGTTTGCGCGTGCGATTTTTGCGTTTGGTTTTGGTTTCTTCATTTGGTGGTTTACTTTCTGGATTATTTTCATTTTTAACTTCTCCATCGTCAACTTCTGTGGTACATTTCTCCTGAACCTTAACATCATTTAAAATATCCTGCTCCGTTTCAGAATCGACAACTTCTCCGTCACTCAAATTAGAGGTACTTGAAGCAATTGTTTCCGCTGGCATAATGGTTTCCAACTCATTTTGAATGGTGCCCGCTTTAGTTGTACTGTCTGGAATTGGCTCAGGCTCTGGTTCTTCTTCGGATGAACATTCCCCACTGTCACTGCCATATCCACATAACAGAGATAATGAGTTTGTATCTTCTTCTTTGTAGTCTTTCAATTTCGATGTCCCCTTGAAGGAAATTCTTGACTTGGTATCTTCGTCAGAGTCTTCATGCTCTTCAACAGTGTCTTTGAAAATCTTCGGTTTTTTTGAAGCATATCGTTGCTTTCCAGCACTGCCTCTAAAATTGCGTTGTTTATCGTTCCTTGGCTCTTGGTGCTTTTTATTTGGAAATCTTTTCTTATCTTCCTCTATCCTCTCTCCCCTTTTAAATTTTTCCTCTTGTTCCCTTTGCCTTCTTAGGATATTGTTTTTGGAAGGATATCTAATTCTTCTCTCTGCTCTCCATTTATCTATATCTTCAGGAGATTGCTTGCTCTCCATGTGTGCCTTTTCCTATAATTCACAATTTGTAATCTCCTATAATTCACAGGACATCAGAAAAAAAAAATTACCTGTAACTTTTGCTCATCATGTACCAGCTTCCAATGACGCTTCATTACCCACGGGTGTCCTACGTATTTGCAACCTTCTACTTCACAACTCCGATGTTCACTCAAGTGCTTCTGCAGTTCGTCTTCCGTTCTGCAATTCACATCGCATTTTTCGCACCAAAGATACCAGTTCACCTCTAAGAGTTCCGGGATGACATCCTTCTCGAATCCACCATTAGAGTAGCTGCTGTGACCACGATGTGGACCTTTGGAGCGCTGATGATGATTGGTCGGTCCTTTCGAACCATAGTTGTGCTGTTGAGGTCGGTTCACCAACCAAGGTGGAACGGTCGATCCACGCGGTCCGTACATCGGCGGCGGTTGATTGTCCCGCGGAAGTAACATTCCTGACGGGGTGGAGAAATGCGGATTACGTAGCTTATTGAAATTATCGAGTGATTTCTTCGTGTCTGCGCCGAATTTGGGTGGCGGAAGTCGAAACGATTCAATTTTCTCCGGATTGGCCATGTTGTTGAACTGAAGAACTTCGAGAAACAGAACGTAAACAAAACACGCATGTGTGTTCTCCCTTTTTTATGGCACAGACCTGTTGGTCCATATTTAAACGCATGTGTGTGTTCGTAATGTTTTGGAAATAATTTTGACAATGTTTTAAAGGAATTTTGTTGGCAGCGTTGCCAGTCATCAAATAAACTCACGGTCAGCAAGATCAACTCAAAATTGAGTCCAATCGACTCATAATCGCAAAAAGTGGAGTTTGTGAGTAAATCTAGGACGTGACTAGAGATTTTTATGCCTCAGAAAAATGCCACCGGCCTCGGCTGGGATTGAACCAAGACCATTGATGTGAAAAGCAGTCACGCTTACCACTACACCACTGGCGCCGGCAAAGAGTTGTTCCAATCGAGCAAAGCAGTGCGTTTTGACGGTTTGATTGGAACAGCTTTTGACAGACGTCCACACTTTTACTTACACGGTGTTTGGTGAAAACCCATTAATGGGTAAAAAAATACCCATTTCCGATAAAAGTGACCCTCCTCATTTAATGGGTTAGCTATGGTTTACTCATTAATGGGTAAATGGGAGGTCAAAATGGATTCTAATAAATTGAAAATAAATGCAGGTGTTCCGATCCGAAAAAAGTTGACGAAGTATTTGTTCAAGTCCATACTTTTTCATCTGTTTTGACCGCACAATGAGAACCGCGTACACTCGGTCCAATATTGAATTGATTCGGTTATCAAAGTTTTGCCTTAACGCTAGCCAATTGGTTCTGTAATATGATACCAAGAACATCTTTCACGGCCATGTGGTGCATTGTTTCTTTAACCTGCCTTGTCATTTTAACAGATTTGAACATGCGTTTGTTATCTTATGGCGAGCTACACAGCAAAAAAAAATGTAATATCGATCAACGTAATTCAAGCTGATGTATGAAATAATGATGTAATAGCAAAAAGCAGATACAATATTACATCAATGGATGTAATTTTGTTCGCAAAATCGATGTACATCGTACAATGTGATATTACACAACCGATGGATTGACCTGGTTGCAGCAGTTTCGATGTAATATTCAACAACTTTTTTTGCTGTGTACTTGGTAACGCGTTGTTTTAAGAACTTTACGACTACTCAGTACGAACTTTTTAGGTTCTGGAACAGTATGCTGCTTAATCCCACAAAGATACGATAGATTGTCAGCAAGAGTTTTAACGTCAATGAAACCCTAATAAAAATAACCATAAACTAACGATAACCCAAATAATAGAACTATTCCGCAAATGGTTTGGATGATACCCGGTACACGTCGTTAAGCAAAATAACCATAACAATTTTATTAGGGAAGGTTTAGAAATTTCTAAATGAAATGAAATGAGACGATAAAATATCCAAGTGATGTTTCCCCCATTAGTGGGTAAAAAATATACCCATTATGCAACCGTGAACTGATTCTTTAAATGGGTATTTTTTCACCCATTTTTTGACAGCTGCATATATGGTTTGAAAATTGTAGTTTTTACCCATTAATGGGTTTTCACGAAACACCGTGTAGACATAACCGTAACATTTTTGAAGCCTTGACTGTAATGTTCCGACATATCCCTTCAGAAATTTTATTTCTGCCATTCTGTCACATTCCCGTTTTCAAGCATCGCATTTTGGAATCGTATATGGAAAATATTGGTTTACTTTACAACTTTTCCTCATAAAACTGCAAAATTAAGTGAAAAGTAGTGGAGCACATTACATACAGTCGGAACTACAATGTCAGATAGTGAGCTGTCGCGTAAGCGACAAGAAAAGCGCGACCGCAGCGCTTCACGCGATTCTCGCCTTGGTTCGGACGCACGCCGAGAAGAGCGTCGAAAAAAGGTTTCACGCAGGGACCGAGATTCACGCTCCAGATCCAGATCCCGTTCACGATCTAGAAGTGTTGATAGAAGACGAAGGCGGGATGATCGCAGACGGAAGAGTCGTTCAAGGTCGCAGTCTAAGGGTAGGGAACGAAGAGACGATGACTCCCGGAGGAGGAGGAGGAAAGACCGTCGTGAATCAAGCTTAGAATCTGGTGAACGTTCACGGAGCAACAGTGCTGAAAGGAAGAAACCAGAGGTGAAAAAAGCTCCGGAAAAGGAACAGGACGGAGATGAAGCTTTGCTGAAGAATGAGAAACCAGCAATCCGACGGACGGTGGATTTGTTGACATCGAAAACTGGAGGAGCATACATCCCTCCGGCCAGGTTGCGTATGATGCAAGCAGAGATAACCGACAAATCGTCAGCGGCTTATCAGAGAATCTCTTGGGAAGCACTGAAGAAGTCGATTCATGGTTATATCAATAAGGTAAACGTGGATAATATCGGAATCATCACGAGAGAGTTGCTGCGGGAGAATATTGTCCGCGGAAGAGGTCTTCTCTGTCGGTCGATTATCCAGGCCCAAGCAGCGTCGCCAACGTTTACTCATGTGTACGGGGCGTTGGTGGCTATCATAAACTCGAAGTTTCCAAACATCGGAGAACTTCTATTGAAGCGTTTGGTCATTCAATTCAAGAGGGGATTTCGAAGGAACGATAAAAGCATCTGCCTTTCTTCGTCTCGATTCGTGGCACATCTGGTGAATCAACGGGTATCTCACGAGATTCTGGCGTTGGAAATTTTGACGCTATTGGTGGAGAATCCTACTGACGATTCGGTCGAGGTTGCCATTGCATTTCTGAAGGAAGTAGGTCAGAAGCTGACCGAGGTTTCCGGAAAGGGAATCAATGCGATTTTCGAAATGCTGAAGAATATTTTGCACGAAGGAAAGCTGGACAAGCGGGTTCAGTATATGATCGAGGTGGTGTTCCAGATCCGTAAGGACGGCTTCAAGGATCACATTGCGGTGGCCGATGCGCTAGAGTTGGTGGAGGAAGACGACCAATTTACACATTTGATAATGCTGGACGAGGCCACCGATACGCAGGACATTTTGAGTGAGTACTACTTTTATTGGGTACCTACTTATGTGGAAATAATCATAAACATCTAATGTTTCTACTTTTAGATGTCTTCAAGGTGGACAACGAGTACGAGGAAAATGAAGCCAAGTACAAAGCTATCAGTAAGGAAATTCTTGGAAGTGATGCCAGCGGCGATGAAGACGAGGATGGATCATCAAGTGGAAGCGGCAGTGGTAGCGACTCCGACGACGAGGATGAAAGTGGCAGCGGTGAGGAAAGCGGTGAAGCCAAGCAGCAGCTTATTGTGGATAATACGGAGACGAATTTGATTGCGTTGCGTAGGACGATTTACCTGACGATCCATTCCAGTTTGGATTACGAGGAATGTGCACACAAGCTCATGAAAATGGAACTCAAACCGGGCCAGGAGTCGGAGCTTTGTCACATGTTTTTAGATTGCTGCGCTGAGCAGAGGACTTACGAGAAGTTCTACGGACTTTTGGCACAGCGTTTTTGCATGATCAACAAGGTCTACATAGAACCGTTTGAGCAGATTTTTCATGTAAGAAATCTATTTAATCCATGATTTAGATCATGTAAAATTAATGCTCGTTCTTTTTAGGATACCTACACCACAACCCATCGACTGGATACAAATCGCCTTCGCAACGTTAGCAAGTTCTTCGCCCATCTTTTCTTTACCGACTCGATCGGTTGGGATATAATGCGCTGCATCCGTCTGAACGAAGAAGATACGACCAGCTCAAGTCGAATCTTTATCAAAATTCTTTTCCAAGAACTCGCCGAATACATGGGCTTGTTCAAGTTAAACGCACGATTAAAGGATGCAACGTTGGCGGAGCCATTTTCGGGACTTTTTCCACGGGACAATCCCAAAAATTCCCGTTTTGCCATCAACTTTTTCACTTCGATCGGATTGGGGGGCCTGACCGATGAATTGCGGGATTTTCTCAAGAATGCTCCCAAGCAGATTGTCCAACCGCTGCCCGCTCCGGTGCCGGAAGAAGCATCTTCACTCAGTTCGTCTTCCTCCTCGTCGTCGTCATCATCTTCCTCTTCGTCGTCCTCGTCGGATTCGAGTTCAAGTTCATCCGATTCCGATTCGGAGAATGATCGCAGAAAAAAGAAGGGCAGGAAGGACAAAGACCGTAAGAAGTCGAAAACTTCTACCTCGAAACAGAGAGATGAGAAACGGAAGCAAAATGGTAGTAGGAGGGAATATGCAGAGGTGGAAGTGGGTAGACGAGATCGGGATAATCGGGAAAGAGATAACCGTGAGGCGTATCCTCGAGAGGAGCAGCATCGCGATCGGAATTATGAAGGACGTGGCAGGAAGGAGCAGGACGATCGAAGCGGACGTGGAGGCGACAGATCGAAAAGGGATCGCGACAATAGAAGAAAGGATGAAGAGCATTCTTCCAACCGTAGGAGATGAGATGGAAAACAATGGTAAGAATTGTGTAGATGTATAATTGTGTCCTATTTTAAGAAATATACCTAGGCGTGTCTCAAATTTGGATAGTTTCGTTTTTGAAAGCGTTTGGAAAGAAATCCATCTCAGTTCGCTGTTAACTACTGTCGAGGGCAGCAGTGGAAGTTTTACCTAAGGATGACGATAACAGGATCGATAATAATTGTTAGTATTGTTATGTTGCTTTTTATACGTTTTCGGCAGCTGCGCGGTTAATGCTCGTATCGTCGCCGTTGGAAACAACAACTACGGTGACCACCTGAATGACGCTGAGGCGGAAAACCAACACAGCAGAAGGATGGCTTCATCGGTACGGCGTCTAAAAAGTAGACAACTCCTTATTGGTACATGGTATTCAATGGCGTTCGGCCCAGCAGTTGCCCTACAGCTGTCTACAGCAGCAGTCGATTTTTTATTTCGTTGTGAACCACACGATAGCCTGTTTTCGAGACTCGCTATTATATGGTTGCTCTTTGTTCGTTGCTAGCAGTTCGGTGCCTTTTGTTGCTACGGTGCAAGATGTGTGAAGTAAGAAACACCATCAAGTTTAGCTTCAGCCATTGTGATGCCAAACCAAACATCGGAGAGATAGTAAATTTCGCCAAAGCACTCGACGCGGATCCGGCTGAAATGGAAGCTGTTTATCGCATTGGTGAGGAAAGGGGAGTCTTCATGAAGTTCAAATCAGAGGAAGCGATGCTCCATGCTCTGACATTCAATTCGGAGGATTTAATCTTCCATTATGCGAATGGAACGACGGCAAAGGTACGCATGTCGCATGCTGGTGAATTCATTCAATATGTGCGTGTGTATGACTTGCCACCAGAGGTACCCGACAACGAGCTGGATAAAGTGCTGGGGAAATATGGGAAAATTAAACGCATCATCCGGGAGAAATTTCCAACTGATCTGTGTTTTGAGGTGTATACAGGGATACGCGGTGTATATATGGATGTGAAGAAGGAAATCCCCACGTCATTACATTTCTTCAATCGCAAAGGAAACATTTTTTATGATGGCAACAAAGACAAATGTTTTCTGTGCAAGGCGGACGGACACCGGAAGCTTTCCTGTCCCAAGCGGAAGGCTCGGAAGGAACCGGAGAAGCAACTGAAGGAAAAAGGAAAGCAAAGTGAAAGAAAACAACACAGCAGCAGTACGTATGCTGGTGTAGTGGTGGAAGGTGCGTCGTTTGTCATTAGCGATCAGGAAACGGATACGGGGTTGGAGATGTTGAATGCAGATAACGAAATGGACGTGACTACCCCGACGACCGACGAGAGTAGCGGAGAGCATGCAACGGGAAACGATGTCCAGAAACAGCAGCAGCGATCACGATTCGGGTTCAATGAAAATGAGGAACAAATTCGGGAAAGAAAGAAGTTGCGTGCACGGGAGAAGATCGCTTTGTCGCCGCTTCGATCGCCACCCAGAAAAATGATATGATAAAATATATTTGTACATATTTTTCTTTTGTATTTTGAGTACCATAATTGGTATTCTATGTTACTCGGCTCCGCTAAGTTATTTTTATAACATTTGAGCCTGCCAAATAAACGAAATGAAAAAAAAAAAAAAAAAAATGGCGTTCGGCCCCGTAAAAAATATCCATCTTAAATTTGTATATAAGCTGGTTTGTTTATTTGCTTTGTGTTCGTACTCTAAGCTTTTTCATCGAATAAATTTGGTGAACTTTGCGTTATTGCATTTTAACTTTACTCCTACTCGAATATCAATATTAGATAGGCAGCAATAGTCGTCGGTTGTTTCTGTACAACTGATCGTTACAAATCGTTATATATTATTGAGGTCAAAAACAAACAAAAAAAATCCCACATCTACCATCCCACAGCACACATAAAACAGATATACGTTATATGTACAATACTGTTCTGCACGCGCGAGAGCCACTTTCTACCAGAACGGACACCATCCGATGTAACACTGGCAGAGGTTCTCGTTGTTGGTGGCCTGTCGTATTAGTAGATCGATCTGCCGTTGCACTGAGACCGGATCATTCGTGTTGAAGTCCTTTCCGGTTAGTTTTTGCTTTACGCGATCTACAATTGCACGAGCCTTATTGTTGGTAGCTTCCGCCGGATTTGCAATGCAATTGCTGCTTTGGTCCACCACATCGCCACCACCATTGGTATTGGCTTCGTTCATCCTCAGATTTCTGGCATTGATCGCCAAAAGATCCAACGTTTCTTCAATGCTCTCCGTAGTGCTATCGACATCGGTGGCATTCTTGGACCTTCGGTTCTTATCCGCATCCAAGAGGCGCCAGTTTAGCAAAGGATCGTACACGAACGCTTCCAGTACGGCCATCAAACTGTCCTTGTTGCGACGGAGCACGTTCATGACACTTTCGCATGTACGGCGGTAGGTTCCCTCGATACCAGTTACTTCCATGGCATTGATTAGCATACGCGTCAAACGGAACGGGATCTTTTCCGGGAATTTCTCACGGGTCATTGCAACCTGGTGGGGAGGGAAAAAAGATCATGAATGTCGGAATTTAGTTAGGGTAGATGTACCAAACTCACCTCGAAACAATCACCGAAATCAATATGCAGAATTTTGCCACTCAGTCGGTCCAACATCAAATTGGAAGGATGCCGATCGCCCAGGCCGAGAATGTATCCAACCATTGACATCACTGCCAGCGACCGGGTATAGTTCGTTCTTCGGTCGAACCAGACCTCTGACGATGGGCTCTTCAGCCATAACAATTTGGCCAGATCGTCTCCCTTGGTAAGTTCCAGCGCATACTCAAAGACCTCGACCTTTTGCATCAACGTCAAATGGTCATAATCCGGGGCCATGCGGAGCATAATCCTATGCTCGATATTCAACATGGTCTTCTTTTTGTCGCGGTAGTCTCGAATCAACGTATGCAGCGTGTCGCAGTGCGGCACCCATCCAATCAAACCGGAATTGGTACTCAACGGAATAACCGCATAACGTTGGATGGTCAGATTTCTTCTGAACGTGTCCGGATCGCTGAGCAACAGAGTGTTCACCAATCCGAACAGTTGCATCACACGTTCATCTTGACGCAAATCTTCGTGACCCTTCAACAGGAACATGTATTCCTTTCCATTCGAACCACGGATGCAAAGTTTTCGCGGTCTCTGCTTCGAGGTGATCACCTGGAGGTTCGACTGAATGCTGGCTATGCTGATCAGCTCCTGCCCGGGAGTGTAGCTTCCCGGTACGGCTAGCTCCAGATCGCGACAGGCCAACAGTTTCGGGCTGACGTACTGAAGTTCCAGTGAAGTGAGCTGCGGTAGCTGCCGGGAAATTCGGCGGAACACATGGTAGTACAGGTCCCAGGCTTGGTTCAAATCGCGGATATTGCCCGAGTTCTGTGAAAGCGGTATCTTTGTTAAGCCGAATACTGATGAAAAATCGTAATATTCTACAATTTACCTTATAATGTTTGCACCATTCTTGAGCTTCGTTTAAATCCCTTCCGTAGGCTTGGTTGAAGGAAGTTTCCTTCAGCGTTTGCGGCCCCCTCTGGAGCATTTGATGGAGGGGCTCCAACGTTTCAAACATACCCTTGATATTGCGTTCGCCAAAGTACAGTCGTGAGGCTTCTTCCAAGCCCTCATGCCACTGTTCATGCCACAGGATTGCAACGCGGATCAGTTCCTCGCTGCACATGATGGCTTGATTGACCAGGGTGGACGAATGTTCGCCCATGGATCCCAGAATTTTATGAGCCGCCTGCCGACGAGCACTGGATGCCGAGTTGGAAGCCACGGTCAACGGATAGACTAGAGCTTGCGGGTGACATTTTCCAATGTCATTCAGAAGCTGATGGATTAGCTCGCCGACTAAATTTCGGGGCGTATCGATGCGAGCTATCAGCTGCGGAATCACCTGCAGCCAGGTATTGATTTCGATCACACGCATTCCTTCGACGAGGGCATCGAACACCTTGGGATACTGTCCGTAGTCGAACCAGAGGGTCAACAAACGGAGTGTGTCCTGCAGGGAGTTCCCATGCGACAAGTTGATCGAACGGAAGAAGCCTTCCACAGCGGGAACGGCGTACTGCCGGATCATACACTTTTCCTTATCTCCGCCGGGGTTCTTCAGAAGATCTTCCTGCTGCTTTTGATTCTGAACGACTTCAAAATTCATGTAGGCCCAGAGATGCCATGCTTTGTACCAATTAGAGTCGTGCTTGGTGGCTTTCTCGTAGCATGCGAGGATACCTTTGATGGACTGCTCGTTCAGACCTTGAAGTTGGTTCTGCCACTGGCCTAGCTTCATGTAGCATCGCGCCAACAGGCGACGGTTTTCGTCCTTCTCTTCTGCGTCGAAATTTCCCTCAATGCCCATGTCGGTTACCAATCTGTTCAGTTGATTGTAAGCTGTTTGCTGTTCACCTGCTGCCCAGAGATGCTTTGCATAGGCGAAGCTGATATCTGGTTGCGTAAATTCCAGCGGGTGGTCCGGATACTCCGAAGGATTGTAACGAAGCAACATGACAAGGGTCTTCTCGGAAAGTTTCAGCGAGTCACTCTTGCGACACAGTGAGGCGAACTTCAACCATGTTTTGACATCGTTGGCCGGATGTACCACCAACGTATGAACCTGGAGAATTCGTTGCCAGTCTTCGACCAAGCGTTGACCACCGAGCAAGCGATCCCACCACATGGCTTGGATAGTTTCCTGTCGCTCGGGGATCAGTTTGTGTTGAATAACTTCTTCCAGTTCGGAGAGCATCTGGACGCAAACCATCGCTCCGTAGGCCCGTTCATAAGATTCACCTGCCATTGCGGTCAGCTCCGTATCCAACAGATCTCTCGTATCGTCGATCAACGTTTGTGCCAACTCGTACTCACCGTGGTGAACGGCCAGCACGGCACGATAGAATGATCCATCCTGCGTATCCTCCGGAATGAATTTGACAAATTCTTGCATTCCATCCCAATCCTTCAAACCCCAAGCAGCCGCAGCTGCCAGTCTTCCTGCCTTGCTCTGTCCCTCAGTACCCAGCGATTCCCATGTTTCCTTTGTCACCGCGTTCAGCGTGGACCATTCTCCAAGTGCTTCCAAACATCGCCACTGACCGAGTCTCGATTCCAAATCGCTCGCATTGGTCTCCAGTTTGTCCTGGTACAGATTCAACGCTTTCTCCCAACTATGTAGCTTTTCGTACCACCGTACCTGAACCTTCATCTCCTCGGACGCACTCCTGTGCTCCATCGCGTACTCTAGCAACCCTTCGGCAGCTTCCTTCTGTTGCAGTTTGTTATTGATTAAGATCAGTGATTCGAACACACTTTGATCCTTGTCCTTCATGTTTAGGAATTCTTCCTCTTTGTAGTGCAAGGCTTTCGCATAGGCCCGGCATTCCATGGCTCGTTCGCCGAGAATCTTCGGATCGATCCTAAGCGCGTCGTTCTCGCAGTGTTCCATAAATTCAGCCAGATTCAGTATCGTTTGGGTAATCTCCGGGAGATCCGGAACCATCAATGCCTGTCTCAAACTTGACGACAATTCCTCCTTCAAACTATCCGGCAAATCGGTCCAGCAACTTACGAACGCCGCGTTGAACAAGTCCTTCAACAGTTGCGGATAGTTTTGAGCCAACGTTCGGCAAGATCGTAGCGCTGGGCTCTTGGATTCCTTAAGCAAACCGATGCTGAGCCGGCGAAGCCATTCGAGCCAATCGTCACGCGATACACGACGATTCGCCTTGAATGCCAACTGAAGGTCGACAGTGGAAACGTTTAGCTTGCGAATGGTAGTGTCACTGGCTAGAGACATTTCGCGATTCTTGAACCGAGCCTGACGCAGACGGAATTCGTCGTCCAGTGCTAGGGTGCTCTGGCCCTGCAACTTGGAGAGCAGTTTGTTGTACTCGGTGTAGGAGATTTTGTGCTTGATCATGACGCGGTTGACGAGGGGGACGAAGACTAGATACTTTTTGCCCAGTTGGATCATGATCGAACAAAGGGTTTGCAATGCTGCGGTTTGGAGTTGCCCGGGATGGTTGTCCAGGACTCGGACCAAGGGATGAATGATCCGGGACGAGAAGTCAGTGAAATCCAGGATTTCCGCTAGATAGTTGATTGTCTCCAGGGCAGCGAGGGACACCTGGTACGGAACTTCGATCGGTTCAAACAGTTTGACGATGGCCGGGATGATGAGATGCAGGTAGTCGTCAAGGTTGTTGCCGAACTTCTGCAACGCAGTGAGGAGTTTCACGGTTACGGTTCGATTGGTAGATGCATCGTGGAGAAGGACCCGGAGGATTTGTGGCATCAGCTGAGGAAGATAGATTTTGAATTCGCACCCCAGGGCGATCGCGATTTTTTCTACCAAGTTGATAAGGGTCGGTTGCAGGGGATAGCTACTGTTCCAGAAAGTCTTAATCAGCTGGAAGATTTCCTCCATAAAGCTGATGATGTGCTGCTTGACAATTTCGATCAGAATCGAGAGCTGCTGGAAAAGAAACTCTTTGAGGTTCACCTCGGCATTGCGAATATTTCCGAGAAGACTGGGCAGAACTTGCGACAAGTACGGAACACACTTTATGCCAAGGCTTTTGAAAATGAAGGTGATTGCCTGAACGACGCTTATGTGGTGGTGGGATAAGGTTGGATCACGAAGGATTTTCATCAACGTTGAAATGGCAACTGCCGGATAGTACTCCTCCAGTTGGTTTCCCATATTGATCAACATCTCCGAAGTGGACAGATCCGAGTATTCGTCTGTTTTTGTGTCGGAAATCGAAATCAGGATGTTGTTTTTCTGACTATCGATTAATCCTCGATTCATTTTATGTTTGTATGGATCCAAGGCACCCAACAATCCCAGAACGCGGATGGTTTCTCGTCTGACGTACGGCTGTTGTTCGGTTTTCAGAAAGTTGATCAATATATCAATTAAATGGGGATACTTGTGGTATGGTTTAACGGCTTGTCCCGTAGCACTGACTAGCTGTCCAAGAGTCCACAAGGCAACGCCCCGCTTTTCCGTTGATCCTGCATCGCTTAACATTTCCAAAAGTGTAGCCAGTAGCTCGTCTGACCACTTTTCCAGCACATGATGGCCGCCGTTCACTTCAGCCAGATCACCAATTGCTCTCAACACGTTCAGCACTACTCCGGGATTGGATTCGGGTTCCTTCAATTTCGGTACCAGAATAGAGAGGATTGGTCTCATGTAGGAAGAAATCAGTCTCGGTGTACTGACGATCAAATGATCCAGCATCCTGGCGCTCTGTTCCTTGTTCCGACTCATTCCGGAATGTTCCAATTCCGTCAAAATCTGCACCATTGTCTTCCGCAAACTTGGCATAACGTAAGCCGGATTGATTGCCGATAGCCTTCCGATGATAATGATAGCCAGCTCTCGAATCTCAAACACCTCGTCGTTCATAGTAATCAACAGCGAGCTCAGGAACCACGGTTGAGCCAGCTGAGAGTCAAAACTATCGTCCAACGATTTCAGTACCCTCAAACGCACATTCGGATCGACATCCGTGATACCGACGATCAGAATCTTCTCCAGAACGCTGCCCACTGTTTGGGTGAGTGTTTCCGAACCATCGGTGGAATCTACGGATTGAAGGGCTAGTTTCAGCAAAAGTGTGCATGTCTGCACTGCTTCGATACGAATTTCCTGCTGTTCGCTGAGAAGGAAATGATCGGCGCAACGTTGAACGAACGGGAGCAAGCTGTGCCCTTCGAAGTTGAATGTTCCGAGCGTGCGAAGCGCCAGAACCGTGGTAGGTGTGTCTTGGATTTGCTGTTCGTAGAGGTTAATACTCGTCGTACCTGGAAGTGAATGATTACGGTTAATTCAGCACGTATGATTGCTTCGTTTTGCGGATAGGTATATATTATTTATATCGTAAGATTTAGTTAATTTTGTTGATCTTGTTTAAGACTTGAAGACACTGCAATTCATTACATTTAAACATGCAAATGGAAATACGGTTATATATTAGAGGGTAAGTTTGCTGGATTGTTTTTAGGCAGTACTTTCAGCAGGTTCAAAATAGGTGTGATCATAAGCTGTATATAGAGTTGGCAAATATCACATTGAATTTGTTATTTGGGTTTCGTTCCACAAACAGTTATATCTCACGTAACATCTAAAAAAGGGCCTATCAGCTTTTGTAAACAAAACTTCTTACGCCCTTTTTGCGCTAACATTAACAAAATGTAAAAACAAAACAAATAATTGCCCCTAAATACTTTAAAGTAAAAAATGTGTCTTATAATCTCCAAAATACTGTTAAAACATTCGGAAACCTACCTTGAGGCCGACCGGGAATAAACTGCGGAAGAGGTTTGTTCATCAGCACACAGGACAAGATCTTTAGCAATCCACTTGTTATTTCCTGTTTCATCTGAGGCACATTCTCGCTCAACTCATGCAAGCACACCGTCAGTCCGGTATTCAATCCCGTCGAAAGCATCGGCAGGATCATATTTTTGATGTCGGTCGTAATTGCACTCTTCAGAGCGTGCCCAAGCAAGGTGATGCACATGAACACCGAAGGATCGACGCATATTTTCTTCTTGCTCGGAGTTTCTTTTGGAGGAAGGGCTACCGTGATTACATCTACTATCCTGGTTCTGAACGGTGCAATATCTTTCTCAACTGCAACCGCTATGTAACCGAGTGTGACGAAAGCCAGGTTACGTTCCCTTTCTTTGCTTTTCACCGTTAGTATTAGGTAGTTTACGACAGCCTTCAAATGGTTATTGACAAAATCTCGCCGATTGAACGCAGCTAATCGAGGTAAGATTGTAAGCAGTGATTGAATCACGTGCGGAGACTTGGAATTACGCTGTTCCAGTACTTTCTGGCAGATTAAATCGTAATTATCATTGACCAGTGCTCGACAGATCGCAGACTCTTGAATGGAGCTGTTTTGGCGGAAGAACTTGACATCGCTGCCATCGGTACTGCGAGAGCTGCTGGAACCATGCCCTCCACTAAGCTTCTCCATGAAAGGTACACGAATCCTGGGAAAGATGCTATGGCCTTCGTCTGTATGGCGATTCCTACGGTCCACGTTCAAGCTTTCCAACTGCATGTACTTTTTCTCCCAGGGTGCGTTTGAACAACGCAAAATTTCATTGAACACAATAATCGCCCCATGAATGCGATCATCCCGGTTGAAACCTTTTTCGCGCGAAGGAAGCTCCTTGAAACAATCCATAGCACTGTCGTAGCAGTGGTTATACCTGGTTAATTGAAAATTGAAACATGAGATTACAATTGATTTTACTTTGATTCCAGTTGCCTACCATTGTGGATTATTATTCTGCTTGGTTCCCTCTCGCTGGGAAGTAACGATCAGCACAGCTCGAAGTGCTTGACCGGCTCCTTCCCGAATCATCGGTTTGGAATCCTTAATTGCAACGAATATGTGTTCGAAGAAGCTTCCAACTTGCTGGTAGAAGAACGTTGGCATAGCCACGGCCAGCTCACGCAACACCAAAACGGCAGCATGTCGCTTTCCCTCGGTTCGTTCCTCGGTCAGCCATTCGAAGGCACGTTTGATGTCGAACTCAAACGATTCCGCTCCCTTTGAACCTGGCAAAAGGGCCAACTTAACCAACACTTTCGCAGCCAGCTCCATAACGGAGATGTCACTCGACGGAAGCAAGTTTCTCAAATTATTGGAATAACGTGAAATTTGAGTCGTCGTATTAACCACATCACCGCTTATCAAGCAATCTAGAATAGAAAATAATCGATTTTACTCCAAAAAACAATAATCCTGGGCATGAAAACTCACTAATAGCCAAAACGCCTCCCTTCTTGTCGTTGGTATCCGCGCTGGACAACATTTCGAAAATATACTGATTGAAATCCTCGAAAAATGCCAACAGATCGTCTTGCGGAATTTCACGCAGTTCCGTCTTAACGTATAGCGACAGATCCTGGGCCGCCTTATTCTGGGCATCCTTGTTGCGGCTTTTCAACCCACCCACAAACTGCTGCACCACGGTCGACATTTCGTACAAAGAAAACAAAAAACCACTCACACACACAAAACCAAAATAAGCCACAAACAACACCTGACGATTATTATTATTATTCGACTTTGTTTTGTAAACACCAACCGGTCGCTAAGCACGCATTAACGACCCCCCGGGAGGCGGGGGCGACGAGCGGTACCGGATAAAAACAGTCGACGAAAAAAGATCGATGAAACCACGAACGACAGCAGTAGCGCTAGCACTCCCGGCTGGGAGCACCGATGATGGCGCAAGGTGAAAAACGCGCTTTTCGACGCGGATTTCACTTCAGCATGGGAAATTTCACTTCGATCCGCTGCGCCGGAAATTTAGGACACTAGTTCAATAGTTTTTTAAATGTTTCGGCATGTTTTTCTGGTCCAAATTTGTAATTTTTACGCGAATTTACACTTCTTTGACACTTCGTATTGCGCACTACTTGGTCGATTTTCGGCCAGTGCAGGCGGATGATTTTATATTTTGTCGATAAAAGTCCAAAAACTGATTCTGAAGGGCGAATTTCCAGGGTTGAAGCTGAGAGGTTTTAATTTTTTAATTTTTTTAGCTAACATTTACAGTCGTAATTCGCTGGATGAAGAATAATATATGATGAGGGTTTATGATTTTGTTCTATGAACGATGAATTTCAAAGGACCGCTTTGCAAAGTACACGGATAGTAATCTCCTTATATCTTTTGGCAAATTTCTATTGCTGATTATTCATAAAATGTATAAGTCAACTAATAAGTACACTGAAGTCTTTTTTTACACGGTTTTTTTTACGCGGTTTTTTTTTACACGGTTTTTTTTACACGGTTTTCCACGATTTATACGGTACGTTTTTAACGATTTCTCGACAACGATACAACCTATCGACTTGATTCCAATCACATTATCCGTTTCAAGCTATTTGTAATCGAATGGCGTACTTAAAAAAAAAATCACAATTTTTGGTGTAAATACAGAATTTTTTAAAATATGTCTATATGGACCATATCATGCTTTAATTACAAATGGCATCAAAATCCGATTTTTTAAAAACATTTAATCATGCGAAAAATCAAAATCTCGTAGGTTTTTTTACACGGTTTTTTTACACGGACCGTATCCCCCGTGTAAAAAAAGACCTGAGTGTAGACGCCTTGCAAAAAGTTAATTAATATCATGTGTCAAATGAAATGTATAAGGGTTCACACATACCTTTTACGCATTCTTATAGGACCTATGTGGTTTGTTTTATGAAATGTATAAGGCTGATGTTTTGGCAAAAATGTAGAAGTGAAACACATGGATAAAATAATTGATTTTCGTTTCGTGTAGTTTTGCTGTAGTAACCAAACACTCCCAAACAAATCCCACATTTTCTAATAATGTACACATGGCGCTCATGCGTGATATTTCGTGCAAAGCATACAAATTATCCCTTTCCTAGTTGCTCTCTATGTCCTTATTTTTATGACATAGCTATCGCATAACTTAACCATAGATGTAACTCTAACCCGACCAACCGTTCGTGAAACTTCTTCAAAGTTCTTGATACAGAAATAAAGATTTATTTAAATTTTCTATGATTTCGATGTACACATTTGAAAATCTTTATTGATCGATACTTACATTTTAGATTATTTCTTCATCGGTCATATGATAGTAATCTATAAAGGTGCCATACTAAATTTCTTTTAATTTCGTTATGTCACATGGACTATTTGGTATTTTTTACAAATATTCATCAATAAATATTTAAATACTGATATTATCTTAACTTTGAACTTTGACATAGAACAACAAAGATTGCCATCGATGCACATTTATAATCTCCTTGTTATCGATTTGCATCGCTGGTTAAAGAGAGTTCGAGGCACACCAGGTGACAGATGGCAATGTTTATATTATTTATCGACATATTCGGCATTCCATCGGAAGAAGCAATCTCTATATTTAATAACCCGTGATAGCATGCGTGGCGGGATTCTCGGCATTTGGAACCCAATGAGGAAAATTTATACCTTTTTGCCTTCTATTACACACGGAGAACAAATTATAGTAGACACAATTATTTTTCCGGTCAAAATAACTATATTGTTCAATTGTTTTAGAGATAACCCGAAACTATAGTTGATTTGACTATATATAGAGGGCAACAACTATAGTCCATAGTTGTCCGTAAAAAAAGAACGATATAGGTACAATGAAATGTATTGTAACCATACAATAGAATTTATTGTACTTAAAATAAATTGTATCGTCCACAACTATAAAATAACCATAGAATTTATTGTTTTCACAATATAATCTATGGTAAATTGAGAAATCTACAATAGAACAAGGGGGTTGTTATGTATCTTAACCATACAAAAAATCACTTTTTCCTGAACAAACTTGAGTCATTTACCATTCATTTTATTGTTTTTCTATTGTTGAAAATTCATACTATATGGGACGTATTGTACATCTAATGTAATAACAATATGTTAAAATTTCTTGTACAATATACGCACAATAAGATCGATTGTTGGCAATAGATTTGGATGTAATTGTATTTTATTTTATGGTAATTGTATGGTTATTTTTTTCCAGGTGGCTCCTCGGTTGGCTCAACTATATTTTTCAGTAGATGAACAAACGTCAAACTTCAAAATACAACTATGCTTTAGTTGATTCAAGAAAACTATTGTTAGGAAAGCAACATTTTACAATGTTTATTAAACGAACTGCTCTTCTTTATCGACATATCAAGGAAGTTTGTTTTGCTTCTTTATCGATCTCAAAAACACAACTGCAAAATCATAAAAAAGTGACCAAGAACATTCAACTTAGATTTGAACCGTGTTCATCTGCGTGAGAGCCAGCTATCTTATCGCCTGCTCTACGCATCACAAGTTAAAAGTGTGTGGATTTATGATGATCACTTGAAACCAAAGTATATAAATAAATTACATTTGGCGGTTGTTATAATTGATCAAAGTTATAGTTGAATCAACAATCAATATGAAACTAACGATTTTAAATTGGCTCACCACTTTAGTAGCCTATTGGTCCCAAGCAAACGATTAACGTACCCTATTCTAGTCAAAATTCTAGTACTACGCAATGCTTGTTTTGATTCGCTATGAATGTTTGACAGATAAAATGAGGGGTTAGTGGATTTTCCTATGTTTCGAGGGGTGAATCGATTAGCTTGGGACCGAAGAGAGTACCAGAGCTGAGCCAAAAAGTTGAGCACGTTTCTTCGGGACCTTCTAGTCTTAGAGTTACCTCTATGCTTTTAGCATCTTTACAATTATTCATGAAATGGTTGACGATTGCTATCGATTTTTCTTATGAATGGCTTTGAAGATCGATGTATAGAAAATTAAACAAAATTAACGAAATGGTTGGTCGGGAAGACCAGAAGGTCTCGGAGAAAAGTGCTCAACTTTTTGGCTCAGCTCTGGTACTCTCTTCGGTCCCAAGCTAATCGATGCACCTCTCGAAATATAGAAAAATCCACGAATTCCTCATTTTATCTGTCAAATTTTCATAGCGGATCAAAACAAACATTGTGTAGTAATAGAATTTCGACTAGAATGGGGCACGTTAATCGATTTGCTTGGGACCAATAGGCTAGTCAAGTAGTGAGCCAATTTAAAATCGTTAGCTTCCACCGGTTGACTTAACTGTGACGAAGTCAGCAGAAAAAGCTTTTCCTCTTTCCTTATTTTGAACCCCTCATACACGCAGAAAATTCTATCGTCGAAAAATAATGCTACGTTTATTTAAAAAATATTCGTTTTGAAAATAAACGTTAAATTTTTTGTAAGATTTTACAACTATGGGAACAAAAATATATATGTTTATTTTAAACATGCTGTTCATTTTTAAAACAAACTTACATTTTTTTTAAATTATTTTACAATGTATGGGAAAGCGCTATAAAGCAAATAATTAGAATAAAATATCTGCAGACAGGGCATCTAAATTCCAGCTATTTTTCAAAGTCGATTAAAGGCGGTCCGAGGGGTGGTCTGTGGGTGGTGACATCGTGGCCCGGGATTAAATATGGTGCCTCCACGGTATCGGCTTCTTTCTACGGGGAAGGGGGTGAAACCGGAAAAGATTCAGAATCCATTTCGGGGTTTCGTTTTTTTCTTCGATGTGATGGAGGAGGGTGATATTTCGATCGGTGAAACGATCGAGTGACGTTGAATTATGGGGTTTTGCCTCGGGTTCCACTGGTTTTATCGAGCTGGAACATTATTTGGATGCTTGCCTAGATGGGTTTCCAAATCGATGACTTTCGGGTCGTTTTCGGTTGAGTTCCGAGGAATAGCTGGAGCTAAATTCTGGCAAATGTAAACAAGGGGCTGTTCATAAACTACGTTGACAGTTGAGGGGGGGGGGGTTGACATTTATCCACGGCCCATAAATTTTTTAAATTTTTTGTATGGACAATTGTCTATGCAGGGGGAGGGGGGGTCAATATTCCCAAAAAACTGTCTACTTAGTTTATGGACAGCCCCCAAGAAGAAACGGTGAAGGCATGACACGCTAAATATATATTGTTGAAATAAGCATGCTCTTGAATTTAATTCAAGAATACATATTTTTGATGCAAACATGTTTTTAATTTACTTTGAATGATTAATATGTTTATTGAATGAACATTTAAATTTTTGATTTAAATGAACAAAATTAGTTTCCGTGTAATTGTTACTGCATATGCGCTAACAACAAAACCTATTTTCCAAACATCACTCACGTCGCATTCCATAGCAATCTTGTCTTCACTTTTTTGCACGAAATTTTCAAAACCATCATCAATCGTATTCCTATCTATTAAGGGGTGATCATATTATTATGTCACGCTAAATTGAGGAAAAATTAACCATCCCCCCTCCCCTATTCCTAATGCATTGCGTGTCACAAAATCATAAACCCTACCTCCCCCCTTAGAGCGTGACATAATATGTGCCTAAGCGAGAGTTCATCTCACAAAAACAAAGCAACAATTTGCCTGCATCTTAGATAGAGTCACCCCCTCGTGTCAAATTAACCTTTCCATTACTTTTTTGGGAATAATCTACAGTATCCCCCGCTAATCCGGCTCTCGTTAATTCCATGGCCTCAATAATTCGGTTTCTTATGGAGCTTTTTTACATTGTTAGGTTGGTAACATAAATTTTATGTAAAATTTCACATTAGTACAGATAGCAAACTTTTCCGTATATAATTGGGGGTGAAGGGCTAGAACCAACAATCAATACGAAATTAACGATTTTAAATTGGCTCACCACTTTAGTAGCCTATTGGTCCCAAGCAAACGATTAACGTACCCTATTCTAGTTGAAATTCTATTACTACACTATGTTTGTTTTGATTCGCTATGAAAGTTTTACAGATAACATCAGGGGTGTGTGGATTCATGCAGAACATGCAGGGGTGAGTGAAATAGCTTGGGAC